CGTACTTGCAAGGAAAGCAGAGCCGCGCGCGAATATATATGAGCATGTACGCCTTTACCTTCGGCTCCAATCAGAAGACTAGATTGGCGGTATACCTGCACGCCAGGGATCGCACGAGATGCGACTTTGAGGAACAACGAATGCGCTGTTTGGAGAAGTTGGAAAGAAGCGGCAGTGATGCAGGATAATGGATCGTAATAGGCTGTAACCTTTATGTCTTCGTTATTTTTCTCAAGACGCTCATGTATCATATATCTTCCTGTCGTAGCGTGTGGTCTTCAAAAAACGGTTCCATGCACACTCGATCTCGGGCCCGAGAAGTCCTTTTTTAGACGATCATATCAAAACGCTTTTGAAGATTTGACTCGACTTGAACTTCGGACCTGGCTGCATTGCGTGTCCTCGCGGCACGTCGGGCACGAACGTTCGAATAGAATGGAAACCTTGCGCTGGTGGCAGTGCTTTTTAATTTATCAAGTCGCGTAAAAAGCTCCTTTGACTCACGCGTGTTCGGAACCGCACTTTCATCCATTCCGCACACCATGCCAGCCAGCACAGAAGACGCCTCTGCTGTCCACGATCTCATCCCATGGTACAGACAATCTTCGGGCGTGCCCTCTCTCACGCTGTCTACGAGCAATGAGATGCGCATCAGCGTCTTCGCCATGCTGCAGCTCAAAGAAATGCTCCCCGACGCCAAATACACGCCCGTCACCTGGGAGGAGGCCCGATCGATCTTCAGCTTTGCCAACGACGACGCGGTGACGGACGCGCACTTTAGCGCAGTGTGCCTCTTGATGGTGACCAAGATCGAAGGGCGCGGGCGCGCCTTCGTGGTCGTCAGAAGGACGAACCAGATATTTGCGCTGGATCCAGTAAAGCCCAAGCTGCCTTGTGTGTAGTGCCCATCTGAAGTTTTTGCAGCGTTTATTCTTAATGTGATTTCTGTGCAGACTCGTTCATGTTCGCGGCGCGTATGTGCCCCCCGACGGGGCTGAGGCCGAACGGGCGCGCGCAACAGGACATTGGGATCTTCACGGATCCTGGGATCGTCATCCATTACCAGGTGTCGTATTGGAAGAAGCATTGACGCGTAAGTCAATTTGGTTCTGGAGCATGATACAGATTCATATACATCGTCCAGTTAGATTATGGCAGAGCAAGACTGCCTCCGTGAGCTGATAAGTTATAGAGGTTGATGTTACACTCATAAGCTTGCTCTGATCTTGGGGTGGTTACTGACTTGTTTTTGATACAGATGAGACTTGTTCAAGTCGAACAAACGGGAATCGACTACGTGGGAAGAAGCTTCCGGTGGGGCCAATCGCCTATACTCAGCGTACGGGGTTCACAAATAACGACGCGGCAGAGTCGGAGAAGAGCCTTTGCGGATTGAACTTTGTCTGTCATGGTCATTCCAGTGTTTTTTTTTTTTTTAAAAAAAGATGTGATTACACATGAACTTGTAGTCTATACTCATCGAGATTTACCTCTGACTATTGGTTCCCACCCATTGTAGATCCACACGCTCAGCAAGTCGGGGGCAATCACGCAAGATATCTGCTTTCAGATTGATACGGTAAACTTCGATCCGCACAGTCGTCAACACCTTCAGATGCGTAGCGACGAGGCTATCGAACTGCTGCCACAAGTCGTTCCTGTGCGAAGCCGCATTACGCCGATACACAGATCGGACGACGATCGTTTTGAGCTGAGAGCTGCCCGGGGGTGCAATGGGAATCGAGTTAACCAGCCAGTCGAGGTATTGGAAAGGGATCGTCAGCTTTTCCAGCCTATGCAATGTACAAGGGAGGAGGACTACAAAGCATCAATTAGGCGACACCACGTCTAATATTGGGAATGTACATACCACCGGCCCATACCACCATGTGCAGGTGTGCGACGGGCGAGCTCTCGAGCAGCGCGCGGATAGCTGGATTGTTGATGGTCGAATGGTGCCAAATCACATCCTCCAGGTGCGCCAATTCACCGATGTACCCCGCGGCAATCGCCTGGCAGATCTTGGGAGTGGCGGATTCGATGAAGAGGATCTCCTTCAACGAAGAGGGGCGAGGCGGCGTCCAGCCTTCTGGTGGAGAGTACTCTTCCTGTATCGACCGGAAATCGACTAGCGTGTTCTCCCTGACCCCGTTCAAGTGGAGATGCTCCATGCCGGGGAAGCATTCCACGCACATCCAGATAAAGTCGTCAACGCGCGGAAAGTCAACGTGCTCAAATAAAACGCGTGTTATAGGTACGGAAGCGAGTAACGTTCTGAGGGAGTGCAGCCATTCCCAGGGCGATCTCCTGAGGGCCTTTTCCACCCTGCCGAATGCTGTGGTCGTGATTTCTTCCTGGATCACTTCAATCGACCTGACATTGACTAGGAAAGGAAGCATTCGCGCAATGTTGTCCGCGCGCAGGGAACGGCGGGGTGGGAACTCGATGATAAGGCGCAGAGTTTGGAAGCTCTGCGCGATGTGGGGAGAGTTGGCAAGAAGCTGGAGGGTCCGCGTGAGGTCATCGCATGTGCGGAGCTTTTTCGCAGGATTGAACACGGAGAAGAGGTGTCGGATAGTGCTGGCGCGGAATGACGGCGAGACGAGGGAGCATGAGAGGAGGTCATAATAGGACGACGGAAAAACTTCTCCGCGACCATACTCTTCTCTGTGCCCCTTCTCGACCAGTTGGTCGACAATATCATCGATTAATTCTTGGGGGAGCGAAGTTCCTGAAGAGTTGAACATTACTGTATGAGCGCAGGAGTCCTAAATTGTCACCGTTAGGATAAGTAGCTGTGAAGTGAGGAGATCAGGCGAGTACCTTGTCATAGACGAGATTTTGGCGACTCCGGATTGCAATAGTGGGTTGGTTGAATTCCTGCTCTCACGCAGTGAGCGAGCAGATGATGGCTGGAGTTCGAAGAGTGTCAAACCCAGCGAGGACATTTATTGACCCACGCTTTTACTGGACCTGGGTTGACTTGATGAACAGAGCGTTTCTTCTTCTCCTTGTGACCGCGAACACGCCGTAAGTATGTATACTTTATGACACGCTGCCATTCGCATCGGCCTCGTGGACTCCGGATTCGTCTCCCGAAAATCAGCCGGGCGCATCTCGAAAGGACTGTCGAAGATCCTACTGGACAGCCTGCTGAAAGACATCATTTTTCGGGACAGCGGTATCATTCCACGCTTCTTTTCATCTCGAGGCATCACTTCTTTCGACGAGATGGAGACCCCGAGCGATTCAGAACAACGGGGAAATCCGAAAGCTTTGAATTCTCAGGTTATCGATGATCAAGGTTTTAACCTACCTGAGAGAACATTAAGCCTAGATGTCCAAATACGCGTTAGTCCAGCACGAAAATGACGGGGAACTACTGACGTTTTGAGTTCTCACAACATCCTTCCTGTCAGGAATGCCGACATTATGAACGAGAACGCATCAATGAAATTACAACGGGCCGGATGAGCTGGCGTTCGAAATTGCCTGCCTCCCCAATAGTCGAGCCTCAGAATCGGCATCGACCTGGAAAAGCAGTGCGGACATAGATAGGCTACGACACGCGCAGCAGATTTTGCCATCCCGGTCTCCGCCAGTGTAAGCGAGTCGTAGTGCACAGTGCAGTGATTGATGGAGTCGGCCCGGGCGCAGATGAAACTTTGGTCGAGTCGTTTCTGGGTTCTCGAACAAGACGCTGTCAGAAGCGAAGAAAGAAATCGTGCGCATTCCAGATTAATGTCCTCGTGTCTGAAGCTGCCATAGTCGTGCAGTTGCGCTTTTGAGTACAAGCCTCAAAAGGGCTGGTATGTGAGGTGCAACGGCAGCGGTCACTGAGGACTTTCGCGAGGCGTCCTAGCTTGTTCGAAGTGGCTTGTACGTTCAAAGTAACAACAGTGTTTCATGGAAGGCTCTTCCCACAGATGTGCAGGCGTTGATAAAGCCAGCCATGTCGGAATACGCCTCGTGATCATGATGGTCGGTGGTCAAGCGCGTATTTCCTTTTTTAGGGTTGCTCTCTCACCACCACGCGCCTCGTCGACATAATGATAATCTATCACCTACTCACGCGGACGATTACGGAGCTTACGGGCTTCAGCGCCCAGCTTTACCTGGCTGCCCGCTGCGATGTCATGTCTTCTGGCCTTGGGGTTGGTACAAACTAGGGCCCTTTAAATTCTTCTTCCGACGAGCCGGAGAAATAATGTACCGCGCGGGCGGGGCGCGTCTTGCTTTATATCAGCCTGCCGCCTTCTGGGAGACGTATACTACAGACGGGAATCTTGCGGTGAGAATGGTTGTCACTAGTACCAAGTTATATCAGTCATGAATGGGTGCGTTTCATCCGAGTCATATACACGCCCAACTTACTCTCGCTCCATTGACCGAGGGCGCATCGCAGAACGCTGATAAGGATATCGCCATCATCTCATCCTAAGCACATCCTGGCAAGGTGCACGCGATCAAGTTCATCTCTGGTGTTGTCGAGAACACCTGGCAAGCTCTCGCGACGGAGATCAAAGCCAAGCTCGGCCAGTCGTATTCTGCGCTGGTTAATTCGTATGTCATTGTCACTGCCTGTGTTATTGTTCCCGTCATCCATGTATGATTACAGCGAAGCTCAACCGCGATCTGGACATGACCGGCTCGTGGGAGCCCAGACTGCCGTGCGGATGTTGGTTGCGATTGTCGAAGGCGCTACGCATGAGAAGGAAGGACATGAATATTAGTGGATTCAAGGTTCCTTGGTAAACAATGTGCACACTTTCCATTCAATGAAATATGGAATATAATCATCTATTACAATACCTCTGGAGTCTGGACAGAATGATATCCAAGTTCTTGCTAATGTGGGGTGACGGCGTAGGCATCCTGATGTGTAGAGTATTATGTTCACCGATCGGCGTGCAATCAGGAATCAGGATCTGAGGATCAAGTGAAATGTGGCGCAATTTGTACTGCTCTTTGCAAAAAAGAGCGTTCCTGTTCCAAGTAATTGCATTAAGGGGGAATCGAACCCCCGGCGGGTCGAGCATGGAATAGGATTTCTTATGGCAACGACCCAGGTTACCACTACCCCATTAATGCCCGAATGTTGTGTGCCGTGCCGCCCAGTGTGAGTCGTAATCGTTTCCTAATGCTGCAAATGTTGCGCCTTACCATCTTTCATCTCACCGAACAACACCTGCGATTTTGACATCCATCCTCTTATACACTAACACCGTGATCTGGGAGGCTCTATACCGACCCGGGATTGATGCACCAGCGTTCTCGGCCTGAGGTAGAACAGGCGTCAGTCTAAGCACGTAAAAAATGACGGTGTAAGTTAGGACCGTCAGTCAAGCATCCACAGTGTCAATATTGGACCAGCATCTATACCAAAAACTAACGCTGTTCCGCCGTGTCTAGAAGGACGCGTTGCCACTAAGCCACACGTCTTGACCAAGGCGAATTGATGTCTCACTTGAAGACACAGGGCCCGCGAATCCTCGCTAGCCTTTCTGTAACATAGAAGACAGCAAGCAAAACGATTACACGATGATGCGGCCCAATCATAAAATGTTTCATTCTCTCTTCCACAAGGCCGATGCATCTGCTAGGATACACCGGCATGCGAAGATTAGCATGTAGAGAAAGACAAGAAACTTGAAGAGAAGAGCCAGGCCATCGGGAGGAGGAGGTGGACGGTGCGAGACCTCGTCAAATGCAGGGATGACACTGAAAACAGAATCCATGCCACTACTAAGCGATACGCCTCAAGTGTACATCCTGAGGGAGCTGAGATAATCCCACGTCATGGAATCAATTCAAAAAAATACTGAGAACAGAGGAGTGTATGTATCCTACAGCACGCGAAACCGCACATCGAGTGGAACCACTTAGATTTGTTGGAATGGAGATTTGTACACCTCATACGACAGCAGACAAATCGGCGACCTAGGAAACAGAAAAAGCAAAGCCTGGAACATGTCACTTGCAGGCAGACCGATGAGTCATACGCCTGTGACTGGCGATGAGTTAATTGCCAAGGTTCCAGGACAGATCCACGTTGGAGAGAAAACCTAGAAAGCAAGATATCATCCATGCGAAAACATTTAGTCACACGGTACACTATACAGAAAGCGAAAGCCGCGTCAAGTCCTAAAAACTTACAGCTCTACCCTATACACCACACCGAATGGAACCACTGAGCCACATCGGCGCGGCAGGCTACACTCCAGAGCAGGTTTACGGTGGACGTTGCGGGAAAAGGGCCGACGGGTATTTCCGAGCACTCGCCGCTATTTCAACAACAAGTCTCAGCACGTAAAAAATGAAGGCGTTGAAGGAAGAATGGCATCCCAGCGATTGTCACTTCAACCGCTGAGTTCTGCATCACGTGTGTGTCCGGTCACACGTTGCGTTGACGTTCATGCCAGGCTGCTTCGGTGAGACTGTCCACTGTGTCAGACTTCAGTATTAGACCAGAATGAATACAAAAAACATCATCACCAACTTGAAGAGCAAAAGAACGCGCTACTACTAAGCCACACGTCTTGACCAAGGCAAACTGATGTCCCGCTTGAAGGAGGGATGCGCGAATCCCAATTTAAGCAACTGACAAAGTCTCGCTAGCCTTGGACCATAAAGATCAGAGCAACATAGAAATCAGAAAGCAAAACGATTACATGACGCGGCCGCTGAGCGACAAGCGTAAAACGCATCCATCGCCAACTGGCGCACCAGGGCCAATGCATCCGCTAGGATACACCGGCATGCGTAGACTACCACCTAGTCATCATTGGAGAAAGTACAAGAAACAAGGGAAGAGCGAGCAGGTCTAGTGAATTCCCGAGCCGTGGAGAACATAAGGTGTATCAGGAACCGCACTGTGATCAGTTCTTCGACTGAAAATACAAGCCAAAACAATTCGTGACCTACTATAGAGACGCGCTGCCGCTAAGCGATGCGCCTCGAGTGTACAGCCTGAGGGAGAGATAGCGGTGGACGCTGTCGGAGGCATGGAATCAAAAAACGAGAGACAGAGCAGGTCATAGGACGCGGAACCGCTAAGCAACGCGCCTCGGGTAGAAAAGGTCGCAGTCTGCACTCAGCTTGAAGAATGTTGGCGCCCGGGCTCGCTATTTGCTATGAGTCGCAGTGGACTGGCCTCCAAGTAGGGGGGCGGTTAAAGGCAATGAGCACCGAGACATTATTGGGTACTTGAAGATCAGATTTTGAAGCAGACTTAGGAAAGGGAGTTCGTATGAGGGACAGCGACGATGCGCCAACAGAGCACAGAGTGGTCAGAGTGGTGGCAGTGAACGAAGATGCCGCGAGTTTGCCGTCGGCAAGGACCAGCATCACGTGGCTCGGCCATTGTTGATGTCCGATCCGCTAAAATTAAATCTGTGACCACCACCACCATCAGCATTATCATGACCGTGCTCGTTGTCGCTCCCAGCGAGCAGCCACCAGAGCCGAAAACGATTTCTCAGACGCAGACACAGGCACCTTCTCCGACAAAGAAGCTTGTGAGCCTGCCACTGCCCACATCACCCTCTCTCGTGCACGGCGACTTTCCCCTCGTCCAGCTCCAAGGCGACTCTATCCCCGACACTATCGCCGCCAGCCTCGCGTCTAGCCTCCTCGGACACGTTCTCTTCCTCAAGAACCAGGTTCCTCTGTACGCCCTCCCTTCAATTCCGCTCCTTTCTCTCTCTCTCAATTATGATCATGCAGCCCCATCCCCCAACTGAACCGCCTGAAGCCGACGAGCGCCAAGTCCGCCAAGCTCAAGGACCAGCTGCTCGACGCGTTTGACACGCTCACGTCGCATTTGGATACGACGTTCACTGCGCTGTCGACGGCGTTTGCGAAGAGACGGGGCAGGGGGACAAGCAGCAGCAGGGTGTATCTGGCGATTATGCTGGGCCCGAGCGTGGGCACGGCCAAGGCGCGGGTGTTGCTGGCGGTGGATGGGCTGGAGACGAAGGTGTGGGGTGAGAGGGATGATTTGCCTGAGGAGGAGGAGGAGGAGGAGGAGGAGGAAGAGGATAGTGATGAAGAGGACGAGGACGACGAGCATCCACCAGACAGCGACTCCGACTCTGACTCCGAACCCGAACCCACACACGCCGACCACCAACTCGCACTGCGCACCGCGGACAGGCTCCTCTCGCGCGCGCTCGTCGGCGCGGACGCTGACCTCGCGGCGGAGATGAACCCCACGCAGACACACGTGCTGATACGCGCGCCAAGGCGGTTCGTGCATCCGGCGTGGGTGCCGCGGCAGAACGTGACCGCGTCGCTGGACCGGACGTTCTTGGGCGGGAAGGGGACGGGGAAGAGCAAGGTCGAGGGCGTGTGGGTGGGGTGTCGGAGGCCTGCGCCAGAGGAAGAGGACGACGGGAAAGATGAGGATGAGGAGGACGAGATGATTTGGTGGAGCTGGGATGGGAAGATTGTGGGGTTTGCGGGGTGGTGAAGGTTGCATAGTCACAGTGTACATATCTCATCTCATCGTTGCATGTTTTGTTTTCGTAGTTATAGGTTGTGTTCTGTAGCATTTGTTTTGTGTAACTTTGGACTGACGAGGTGGTACGAGAGGGGCGCGCGGAACGTAAAGTCAACCGACCTTAGCTCAGTTGGAAGAGCGCAAGACTGTAATGGATATCCTACCATCTTGATGTCGCCTGTTCGAACCAGGCAGGTCGGATCTGCATGCGATAATGTTCCATTTTTGGTGCTTTTCAAGACTCAAGCCGGGCTCGGGAGTCCGAGGCCCGAGGGCTCAGGGAATCTGGTTCTTTGAACTTGTTCACTGAGCTCTTTCCAAAGCCTTGTGCAATTTTGTCAACCCTTGGTCCCTGTTTCTTCAGCATGGGGTGGCGGAAGATAGGGGCACCGATCATGCAAGGAGGTGTGCCCCATGGCTGAGTTGGTTACAGCGTCCGACTGTTATGTAAGGTGCAACAGAAAGTTCAATCGGAAGGTCGTGAGTTCGAGCCTCACTGGGGCAGCTAGTACATAGTACCCAGTGTGTTTTTTCTTCTCGCCACTACACTTCCATTGTTGATTGGTTGTTCACAAATTCTGCCTGGGGATGTGCATTAATGGGGTAGTGGTAACCTGGGTCGTTGCCATGATCTTGCCCAATCTGATGAACCTGTCGGGGGACACGGTAGCCAAAAAGCCGACCGCCACCGCGGCGGCCGCGAGTATGATTGATGTTCGTAGGGTAAGTGGTACAAGTATGAGGATACGAATACAAACGGGCGGGCGACGAGAATACAATACTGGCGTGAAACAGTAAGAGACTGAGCCTAAGAGAAAAAATACAAGAACGCACCTGGCGGGGCACAGTAAGAGCTGAGGGATGCGAGACATCCTCGGCTGCATACCTAAGCTGCCCGCCAGGTATGGAAATCAACGATCGACCTAAGAGAAAGATGTGGCGCTGAGAGCTGACCACGTCAAAGTCTCGCTGTAAGCGAGGATAACGTCCCGAAGGCAGAAGAGTCTCACCTGGTTCATTTTGCGACCCGGTGGGTAACGAACCATAAGTACAGCATTTTAGATCCGAAGGATCTGTAATGAGTACTGTTGGTGAGGATGCTGTGAGCATGGAAAGCGAAATGGCATACCTCATATTGGCCTTGAGTAATCAAAAGATTAATCTCGACCAATCTGATGAACCTGTCGGGGGACACGGTAGCCAAAAAGCCGACCGCCACCGCGGCGGCCGCGAGTATGATTGATGTTCGTAAAAATGGCTAATAAATGAGTGGGAAGATGATATCAATCATTGTTGGGTTCGGTTGAAGAGTAGTGCCTGTAGGAGAACGGGGTTCTTCCTGATATAAATCTGGAAGGTGTTTGAAGCCCAGCGTCCCGCAGCCTGAATGAGGTGGGGGGCGCATCCGTCCTCGGCCATCGCTGTCGCTCCTCCAGCTCGCATCGATTGGCCAGCAAATTGTTCGTCTGGCTCAAGGCGTCGAAGACGCTTCATGAACCAAGTTCGCGTCGGGATCTCGTTCTTTGCCGTCACCCAAAGGAAAGGATTCAGGCGCGAAATCTTGTCACGCGAGACGATGTAGCGGCGAAAGACGGGAGCGGGATTGAAATCGCCACGACGGATGATCCGTATCTTGTTGCCCTCGAAGAACCGGTCTGCCTTGTGATATGGTAGGTCGAAGCCATACCCGTCATCGAACCACGTCACTGTGGACCGGCGCGAACACTTGCGCAGGTCACGGATCGCGACGTTGTCCGGGAGCGACATTTCGCCAAGACGGAGTAAAGCCATGAAACCCGTTGTCAGCATCGCGGCGAAGAGCAAACTGTCGTGGGAAGCGTTCGGCGGAAGGTCATTGATGGTGGAAAGAATGTGCTGTCGGGCTAGAGGGAGTTTCCTCTGGATTGGAGTTCCGTACCTCTTCATGCAACCTGATAAAGATCGCGCCACTAAGATTGATTTTCGGTTCGCGCTGACACCGGGGAAATATGGTTCGAGTTTATTGCAAATCCCGGTTAAGTAGGATGCGACGGAGCGTGGCTTGATGTTCGCGCACATGTAGACAACGTAGAATGATAGAGTGTCGGGTGTTGGTTCGACGGGGAAGTGATGCAGAGTGCAGAAGTTGAGATAAGAGTTCAAGTGGGAGTCGTAAGTCGCACTGGTGGAGATGTCGATGGCAAGTCCTAGTGCAATGGCTCTCTCATGGAGAAGCCGTTCGCGGGACCAAGGTTCCCTACGCGGTTGCCTCGGCGTCCGCAATTGGACGATCTTCATTTTTGTGTTGCCCCCAGCGTAAGTCGAGGGGGTTTAAATGTGTCGATGTATAAGTTCGGCACAAGAGACTGCGCAACGTCAAGGTAGTCGCGAGAGAGGGCGTCCGCTACGGTGTTCAGTTCGCCAGAGATGTGCACGACGCGTAGGTCAATATTTGACCGAATACGAATATCGACCGCTGCTTTGAGGATAGGGTTGTAATCCGGTAGCGCGCGGAGGGTGTCAAAGATGTTGACTGTATTCGTGTTATCAGTAAAAATAGTTAAGCGAGCTGGGCACTCAGGTGTGGCAAAGAAGGCGAGGTTCGACTGCTCGTACCAGACGAGCGCGCCGAGAACACAGAGCGCCTCCCAAAAGAAGATCTTGTCTCGCATCAAGTCACCCGCAACAGCGCACGTGAAACCGAGGTCCATCTCCGGTACCCAAAAACCCATGCCTGTCAGAGACGCGTCGCAGAAGATCACCATGTTCGCCTCTGTGAAGGGATTCCAGTCAAGATTAGCGAAGAAGAACATGCCAGACGAAGCCTCAACATGCTCTTCAAACCATGCCAAATCTTGAACGATCGCCTTGTTAAGGTAAATTGGTGCATGCGAGCGTTCTTTTCCAGACATTTTGGCGTATATGTTCGATAACGCGGGCTTGAGTAGAGGATAGACGTTCAGCGACCAGTTTATCCAACCGGTCAACTGCTCGAAGTCGTGGAGCGTCTGGCGTCGACGGGCAACATGTGCGAATTGGTGTACGTGACGGATGAGGTCAGACTTTGAATCGTCCGGAAGAGTCGCTGTCATAGCGTTCGGATCAACGAGGAAGCCGATGATGACGAGAACTTCTCCCCAAACTTGCTTCTTCGCTTTGTGGGGAATGCCGAGCCAATCCCACAGTCGAAGAAGTCGGACTTGATCCGTCAGATAGAATTGCTCGTACGGATCGTACCATGTCATGTCGTCGACTAAGCCTACGCTGTAGCAGTCGTCAACATAACAGCAAAGGAAGACCATGTTCAGAAGACATATCGCTATCCACACGACAAGACCCATCACCGATGCCCATGCTCTCGGAGAAGCGCGACTTCCGAAACAGGCACGCCAGTCCACGTAACGTAACCATGCGGTCTTGTCTGTCTTGCTTTCTCCCACCATGGACGTTACAACCTGCTTCAACTGCCACAACGGATGAACAGGTATCGTTCGAAACGCGCCCATCACGTCGGCCTTCCAGAGGAGTAATCTCTTGCCAGGATGCAAGCTGGAGAACATCAAAAGTAACGGGATGAAAATGAGGAGAGAGTCCAAACGTGCGCCCTTCGTTTGAGACTTGTCCACCATGTTGTTTTGACAATATTCTCCCGCAGATTGATTCGCGACGAGGCGGAGATCGTCTGAGTGAGGTTTGGGAACAGCAATATTGGGCGTGCTGTACATGCCTGGGAGTAGGTGTGGGCCGAACGCTGGTGAGTGTTGACCCTTGTCTACTTCTTCTATGCATTGCGCCGCAATAAACTGACTCTCCTCAGTTGACGGGATCTTTGCCCACGCGTTGTCCCACGTTTCTGGAAAATCACTCGATGGATTCGTGTCGGCCCATGGCCATAACCCGATTTTCAATGTTCGAACGACGGAGGCGACGAACGCTCGATTCGGATGTATGGCTAGAGCGCTCGCGAAACGATCTATATTGATTGGAGTGGAAACGTGGAAAAGGTGAGGATTTTCATGGATAGTTTTCATAGCTACATGATGGTACTCTTTTTCAGGTGGGTGCAGAAGAGGTTCGTCTACTTCCGTGAACCACGCCGTTCGACTGCCTTGCGGGGCCGCGTTCCTCCATCCGAAACCCCTCAGGTAGCGTGGCAGGAAGGATCCGAAGCCACTCTCTTTTTCATCCTCCACACGACTCTCTTCAATGTCTTCTATTTCCTCATCTTCCCCTCCTCCACCTGCGAAATGACGCGCCGCGTGCCACAGGCTTGCCACGAAGGAAGAGCTAGTCGAGGACTCAGCTGCTTTTCGGTTTACACAAGGTGACGACGTGCGGTCCTTCGCAGGAGCTGCAGACATGGCGTCTGGAACAAGCGCTACGGAAGCACTTCCCCTCGTTCCAGTTGTTGCAGATCTCTCGCTCTCGCTTCTTTGCCAATTTTGTTCTCGCAGATTTTGCGCTCCCACCTGTGCCTCCAATATCATTGTACCGAACGCCGTCTCTGTCGAGGAAAGCTCGCTGGAGTTTCGTGATCTCGGGGGCGTTGTACTGATTGAAGAGGATGGCTGGGTTCGACCCGATAACTTTGCGAGCGGCGATGTCATACGCAATGACTCGGGCATGGGAATCTTCGACCTTGGACGTGAAGAGGTCGTCGATGTGCTCTCGCCAGGCTCGGAGTTCGTTCGTCCGGTAAGGGAATATTGTCTCGACTGCCTTGACATACTTATCAAAGCATCTAAACCAGACGACTGACGAACTAACAGTCTTCTTCTCCGCGCTTCGTCCCAAGGCTTTGTGAAGTGCCGATTCGACCGTACTGACTGGAGTGGGGTCGAGGTCGAGTTTGGTGGAGAAGAAGAAAGCGTTGATCTCGTCGAAGTCGACGACTTGATCAAGGAGGATTTTCTTCCAGAGAGCTTCAGGGAAGACGGGGGCGAGTCCTATGCGCAAAAGGTTGTGCAAGGTGTACTTGACGTCGCGTCTGTGATTTTCGACGGCGTCGCGGATTTTCTTGTGCTCAGCTGAGAGAACGACTTCTTGGACGACGGCGGCGGCGGCCCATCCGAAGAGATTGTCGTCTGGTACATCGCCATCGTTGGACTCGCGAGCGTGGTGGTGTTTGCGAGGAGGTTTGGACTTGGGTTTGTCGTCTCCTCCACTCTCATATTCTGAGAGCGAACTATTGGAATTGGGTGTCTCTGCCCGTTTGCGTTTAACTCCGGGTTTGACACTCTCTTCGTGGTCATCACCGTCCTCTTCCTCGTCGACGGTCTCTTCTCCTCCGGATACGTCGTCGTCATCTTTTCGCGACTTTCCCAACTCTTTCCCTCGTTGCTTGGCTCGCTCGAGACGTCTAGCGTCGCTCTCGAGTTGCTCGAACCACGGCTTGAGCTCGTTACGTCCGCTGAAGTCGTACAGTCCGGCTTCGGAAACACCGCCGATGTAGGCAACGACCGTGGTTTGAACGTCAACTTTGGACGCTCGTCCCTCACGGTACTGTAGACTTTAATTCAATTCGTC